GGGGTGTACGATTAGTAGTCCCCTAATAATAATAATAATAATAATAATAATAATAATAATAATAATAATAATAGGGGAGCGCTACTTGTACACCCCCCTCCTCTTAGCGCTTCACCACCTTCTAATTGGCTCGGAGAGCCCAGAGCTTCCTCCGGGCATTCACCTTTACGTTTCTCTACACGTAATGCTATATACGAGTACGTAATGCTATACGCGAGGTCGTACGTGATGCTATATACGAGTACGTAATGCTATACGCGAGGTCGTACGTGATGCTATACGCGAGGCCGTACGTGATGCTATACACGAGGCCGTACGTGATGCTATACACGAGGCCGTACGTGATGCTATACACGAGGCCGTACGTAATGCTACACACGAGGCCGTACGTGAGCTCGTACGTGAGGCTATACATGAGCTCGTACGTTAGCTTGTACGTGAGCTCGTACGTGAGGCTATACATAAGCTCGTACGTGAGCTCGTATATAAGGCTATACAAATTGGCATTATGTAATTGCTTGTGTTGTACATGGCCGCATTTGGAGAGAGCATTCGGAATTAGTGAGCGAGTTAAGCGAGCGAATCGGAGGCTACGGAACAGTGTTCCGAGCCAATTAGAAGGTGGTGAAGCGCCAAGAGGGGGGGTGTACGTGTAGCGATTAGGGGGTGTACGTGTAGTGAAAAGGGGGTGTACGAGTAGCGCTCCCCTAATAATAATAATAATAATAATAATAATAGGGCGTTGATAATCTTACACCCCCTTTTCGTTAATCGTACACCCCCTTTTTGCTATTCGCACCCCCCCCCCTAGTTGTTTCACCGCCTTCCTATTGGCTTGGAGCAGCGCGGAGCTTCCTCCGGGCATTCACCTATACGTTTATAAACACGTGATCCTATACGCGAGGCCGTACGTGATGCTATATACGAGGCCGTACGTGATGCTATACACGAGCTCACGTACAGCTATATAGCTATGCTGATTCGTATAGCCTTATATATAGCCTTAGGTACGAGCTCACGTACGAGCTCACGTAGTCTAAGTCTAAGTATAAGTATAGAATAGAATTCTATTCTAGAAGTGCCTACGTGCCTAATAGCATGCCAAACCTGTCAAAACTTCACCTTATTATGGCTCCTTTGCATTAAGCCTAGCCCCCTAGCATCGCCGCCTGCACCTACTCCTTATACTGATCTACATACGCCTCAGCCTCATACTTATATTGATACTCCGCAGGCCCTAGAACATTCCTACGGCTCTCTGGCCGGCCTGATAACTCAGCAGTGCCTACAGCGACACCTGTTGGGCGCTGAGACCCTCCTAGACGTGCCTGTAGAGCTGCAATCTGTCGTAGAAT